AAGACCTAAGGCAGAGCCTAGAAATGAGATTCCACTGCCAGGAACTTGCCTTTCCAACACTGGAGGAGCATTACTCACATGTCAGAGCCGCTGCACACCCCAAACCCCGCCAGTGAAATCACAGAGAGGTTTCTGGTGAAAGCTGACATTGTAATCAGAGAATCTGATCATGGCAGAGAAAAAGTGTCCAAAATAAAGGTCAGAATAAATACCCAAGCAGAAACAGCTCTTGTATTTGATGAACTAACTAAGTGCTTTTCTGCTGCCATCAGAGTCACAGGGAAGAACAAAAAGCAGATTCAGGGCTTGGTTCGGGGCTCGGAGGGAACAGGCAGCTCAAAATGCAGGAAGTGACTTATATGCTGCACTTCCCAGTTGATAGGACAGGGGCTTATCAGCAGAACAAAACTGCCTGTTCACAAGGCCACTGAAAGAGTAGCCCACAGTATTGTTTCAGTGGCAGTTATTCTACTGCTGAACTTGAAAATTCTAAGGAAGCGGAAAGAAAAGAAGGGTTTTGAATGTTAAGTTCAAAAGTGAGGAGAAGACCAACACCAGGAACTCAGACCGAGTGACATTCAGCCAAACGTAATTAATGTACTTTTTTATACCTGGCTTATAAATTCCTTCCTTCACCCCACGGTAAAACCTCACAGTTTCCATGAATGGGTTTCTCATAAATTTATATAAACCTAAATAAACATACTGTACACATGGAGAACAAAACACCTGAAGCAGGTGTTAAAATTTGTTTCCTCAGGCTGGAAGAAACCCTCCCACGAGGAGCAATGCTCCACCCACTGGACAAAGAGACTGGAAGCACCACCTGCCCCAGTCCCAGGGACGTACACGAGAAGTGGGGTCTTTTCAAGGTGTGTGACAGAATTGATTCAGGTGAATTCACAGGTACAACCTGACCGAGGGGCTCTGCCTGGTAATAAGTTTCAGGCTGGTAATTGCCCTGAAACCAAGAGGAGATGATGAAGTGAACACTAGAGAGGAATTCCGTAGGAAAAAGGGAACTGACCTTCCACACCTCCTGGTTGGCTGCACAGGGAAGATAAAGCAGAACACACTCTGTCAGAAGCACTACAGCAGTTCCCAGTTTTAAGAGCAGACTTTCACTTCAGACTCTGCCTGCAGCTTTGATTAACAACTGGGAAAGGGAAATCTGCACACAGATGGGGAGAATAACCAGTTAGAGATGATTTTTTTTTTTAAAAAATTCTTGAAGCACATTGAAACAGTAATTGTTCAACCTTTTGGTGTCTGAATCAAAACAGATGATAAACGTGCATGTGCATTCCTGAGATAGATCTGAAGCCCAACACTGAAAAAATCCTATTAAATGAAACACAAGAAAAGCATTGCAAGAAAGAGGGGCATCCCTTACAGTCTTAGGAGAAAGTTTACTCCATAGTGTTTTTGGCCTGATGGGGTGGGGGGGATATAATGGATTTAAAAGCAAAAAAATTAACAGAATAAATAAGGATGAGAAGTGTCCAGCCACAGAAGTCAATGGAACATGAGAAATCCTCCCATCACTGCAAAAAAAAAATCTTGTTGACTTAGGCAATAAATTGACCAGGCAATAAATTCCTTATAAAGTCAATATATATATCCATATATGACAGATGTAAAGTGCAATAGATGGGGAAGGGACATCTGTGTTCAACTGCCACTGACTCAGTTCTTGGTCTCTTGTCTTCTGCCTCGGTTTCTCTGTTTCTGAGGCACCAATAGCCCTGCCAAGCACCTCCAAACCAAGGTACAAAGCACTGTTTTATCATGGAATAGCCAAGGAGGACAGTGGCTCTGCCACAGTGATGGAATGAGAACCAGCAGAGCCATATTCAAGCAGCCCCCACCGTGAGTTACGGCCGTAAATCGATGGCTCCCGATGAGGTTCGGCTTTGTGACACCGTAACTGTCACAGCAGCAGCTCCACAACTCTGACACGAGCCCTCTGCTCAGCCTGCACCGACAACAAGCCCCTGGCAAACCCCACTGCAGCAGCAAAGAACAGAAGCACCCCAAACCCACTAAAATTTGAGGCCGTCTATGAGAAAAATCTTCTCCACGTGCTTTTACGGTCACGGGCTAACGCCGTGTAAGCGCCCAGCCGAGAGGGGAAAGGAATCAACCACTTGCATGTTTAAAAAAAGACCACATTTCGAGTGAATATATCTCTTTTTAGCAGGCACAACACAAACATAAATGTGTTTCTCGGAGCGACAAGATGAAATTTTCAGCTGGTCAGCGGCTGCTTCTCGCTGAGGAACCACATGACTGCCCCAACACACAAGAACATTTCATCTGCCAGCCTGCAGTGGAGACCACGTAGTTAATAGTTTGCAACCCCCTTTCCCCCAGAAGATCTTCAGAGTTGAGTAATAAAATTCCTCACATGATTTCAATGAGAGGGTTCACTTGTCAGGGGCTGTTTCGAGATAGTATCGTATGTCAGGGAGGTGCTCGCTCAGATCAAGTTTTCCAACCTTGTGTTTTCAAGGCTTGGCTGAAAATGAATAAAAAAAACCCAAAACACAACACAACTAAAAAACAAACCTCCAGGCTCTAAAGTTTGAAACTGGAGGAAAGAGAAAATAATCTCTACATGTTATTTGCAAAATGTGAAAGCTGGCCAATTAATGAGGGGAGGAAGAAAAACCCTGATTTAAGCCCTGGCAAAGCCCCGAGATCACAGACTGATTACGAGTCCTGCCGCTGACTCCGTGCAGCAGCCCGGGCAAGTTAATCCCTCTACACCTTGGTTTGCCACCTGCCAGATGAAAAATAACACTTTCCTTTCATATCCTGTCATTCCTGCTCGTATTGTTCCCCAAATTAAAAGCATTTGTCAAAACACTTATCTTTAGCATTAACGCTGGGAATTGCGTTCACAGCCTCCACACGCCCCGCCTGCATGACTGAGTGCTCACAACACAAACTCTTCCTCCACTTTGCTCCCCAGCTATCCTCTTTTAACAGGAGCCAGAAGGGAGCTTTACTCGATATGGGAATATTAGAATGATAAACACAGTTTATTCCTAACCTTATGTATGAAACCAGCTTTAGAAATACAAGTTAGACGCCCTCCAAAAAAAAAAAAAAATCAAATTCTCCTTGTTATCTCCCAAAAATCCCACTGTAATCACAGTATCAGCCTCACCGCATTGATAACCCACAAGATCATGTTATCAGCACAGGTATAATTAAAGCTCAATCCCACAAGGACATGGATGCAAAATCCAACCCCTGCTCCGCTAAAATCAGTATAACACGGAATCAACTTCGGGGACTTCAGAAGTGTCAAAGCTGCACAAAGTTATCGACAGGAGGAACAAAGGCATCTCTTTTTCTGCAGTAAGATTCCTAACCTGACAGCATTTTGATTTCAAATCCTAAACTTTGAAGAAGATGAAAAATATTTGCCACAGAATCCCAACACCGTAACGTGTCATTCCGCAATGTCCCTAGAAGCTCTGCACAGAAATCACTGTGAAGCTCAAGCTGCTTTCCTTAGATTAAAATGAGCTGTTGCTCCATGAAAATTGATTTATTTTCTAGCATATAAACCCAAACATCTCCAGAGATCCCTCGGTGAAAGGGACAGCACAGCCTCCTCCTTTCTCGTGGCTCAGTTTCATTAATTCCTCCAGTTCCCCGCCCCAAGACCCAAATTTCACCACTGCCCCACTGACACACAACAAAAAAAAAAGAGCAGTCCCAGAAGTTAACGACAGAACAATTCCTGACAGTCACGCTCATTAAAAATGCATTTTATTAAAAATTAAATTAGCTTTAAAACTGAATGTCAGAACCCCACTGTTTTCCCAGCTCCAGACAGCGATGAGAAAACATACCAAACACCCCCATGAACTTATGGATTATCACTATAAAGTAAACACTTCACAGTAATTTAATTTTCAAAACACTGGACGGCCTTGAACTTTTAATATCCTTTTAAAAGAGACCAGTAAGCCTCACACTGAAACTGCCTTAAAAATAAGCTTTCTGCAGCTGACACCGGGCACTAATTCATGGAACTACCAGAATCACAATTCTAGAGAGATGCACGTTGTCTACAAAGGTCAACAAATGAAAGGAACTGCTTGAGGCTGCTCAGCAAAGCAGTTCAAGAGATAACCAGGCCTCATCCACGCGGGGTTTTTCCTTCCAGTTTTCCTTACCCCTCCCTAAAAATCCTGCTGTTTCACCTAGGATAGCATTCCTGTAACCCAGCTGGCAGCCTGCACGCCACAATGTAGTCTAGACCTGCTCCCAACAGTGGGATGACACAGGAGGAAAAACGCTGATGATGCCTGTGCTGGAGCGAAGGGGAGGCAGCACAGGCTGAGTGAAACACGAGTTCCTTGTTCCCAGCCTCATGCCCAGGCTCGTCGGGTGATTCTGTCAACCAGACACAAAAAGTTGTGGCCGTCGTGGGGGTGAAGAATAATCCTCACAAAAAAAAAAACGGGAAAGGAGCTTTCCCAAAACCCCCGTTTTCACCTGCAGAATCAAAGCCTGCCCCTCTCCGAGCCCTCCGCTCTCAGGACATGCAGACAACAAACACATCCCTGCACAGATAACATTTTCCATCCCTTCCCTCCTTCCTTCCTTCTCCCCTGTCTGCATCTCCAGCAATTTGGGAGAGAAATGGCAAAAAGGGAGATGCAAAACACAGAAATAAATTAAGTTTGTTCTCCGCTGTTGACGGATTTAGTCCTACCACGACAGGAGGGAAAAAAACCCCAAACGTTAGGAGTGATAAATCCATATATACCTACTCCAAACTACACCCCGTTTCCCAAGGGACACGGTATAATGGTAAATAAATATAGATGCAGCTCCTACTAATGAGGCCGGGTACAGCAAGGCCAAGGAAAATGCAATCATCTCGGGGAAAAAAAACCTGCACAGGACTCCTCCTCTCCCATCCACGGAGGAAATCAAACGCCAGCTGCACCATCCCAGGAAGGAAGCAGAGCCTGTACCTGATGAGCCCTGCAGAAATGAGCGAGTCATATCACGGGACTTCAGGCTTTCGTCTGCAGAGCACAATTCCTCACTCCGGTATTTTACGTGGCATCATTCATGCAAATTGTAGGGTTGGTTTGTTGGGCTTTTTTTTCACCGGTTTTCTTTATTTTTTTTCCCCCCCACCTCCATCCCCACTAGTTTGAAGCAGGAGCACGTAGGTAGTGTCTCTGAGATCCGCTCTCTCGAACGCGTGCCTTCCCATCAGTTTAACACTTTCCTCCCTATAAAGTTTAAATCCTCACAGTTTTTGCTCATAAACGTTCTGTACTTAAAAGCCACCGAGTCCCACTCCCAGTGTTACTTGAGCAGAACAAATTGAGAGAGACCTGACTCCACAAACATGCTTAAACCTTCATTTCCTCTTCCTTCTTCCTTCCCCACCCCCAAAAAGAGCATTTGTTTTTTCTGTCCCCAGCACGAAGGAACTGGGGGGAAAAAAAAAAAACAAAACAGCACATCCAAGCAAGGCTTTTCCAGACCTATCGCAAAGAACGAAATTCTTCCGAAGAACTGCTTTGCAAACATACCAAGAAACACTCTAACAACTGGGAAAAAAAGAACCCATCAGACAAAACTGAGGTCGAAGAACTCGGCGGGGTCTGGCTCGGGTGTGTGTTCTGCACCTAAATACGCTCGGCTCTTGTTTAGTTTTAACCCCGGAGCAGAGGAAAACACTTCCAGCAGAATTCCTGGCCGCGTCCCCCCGACCGCTCCTGCGGTCAAACACACTGTTCTGTCCCCCCACCCCTCCAAAAAAAACCAAAAGCATTTACCCTCCCCTCACCTCTTCCCAAGAAGTGCAAAATAAACAAGCGTCTGACACCCCACCCAAGCTCTCCTCGCACATTTTGGGAATGACTTCCCTCCGGGTCCTCCTCCTCCTCCCCCCCACCCCCCCAAACCCGTCCCCATGTTAAAACTCTCCAGCAACCAGACACCTTTTTCGGGTTCACGCCTTTGCCCTCCTCGAAAACCCTCCCCAAAGCCGCAACAGATCCCGCAGCCAGCAGGGTTGGGGCAGCCCCGACCCCCCGTCCATCCACATCCACAAAGCTCCCAAAAGGAGCCCCCCCTCCGCCCCGAACCCTCGCACAGCCCCCTCCCAGCCAGGGCAGGGATCTGACGAGGGGGTTCCATCCCCGCACGGTCGGAGCCTCTCCCTCCTTCCCCGGCCGGGGGTCGCACCAGCCCAGCCCCAAACTCCGCGGCGAACAAACCCCACGGACA